TTCAAACAGCTGCCACAAGAATGTTTAAGCAGGGTATACAACGATGGAACAATGGGATATGTGCCTTAGTTTAGTGATAATTATTTGTAGATCTATATGCCAATAAACTTTTTCTGGACCAAAGATGGGTTTCAGTTGAACAAGCCTCTTAAATGATCCCTAATATCACGAAGTAAATCTTACACTGTCATTTAACATACTTTTAGATACTTTTCAAATTTTTACTTCCTATGCCGCTGGTCGAGGAAGTATTGTAATCGCGGAAAAAATCAAAAAAGAGATGTTTTTTGGATGCTACATGATACGTATATCAATGGTTGATTGCATTGTAAAAAAATGAATATATATTCGAGGGTTTGTCTCACAAATAAGGTTCCCACATTTTTGCAGGCGCAAGGAATTTTCATTTCTAAAAAGGAATGTATCATTGGAATCGTTGATTTGTAAGCTATTTTGCTACATAGTCGCAATTTGTTCTGTGCATTTTTTTAGGGTGGAATACACAGGCCGGTACTGAGCGTCGCCAATAGGCGCTTCTTGTTGGGATCGGCGTGTGTATTTTTTAAACAACCCCCCGTATTAATGCACGCATTCATTTGTTGTGCACACCATCCATATCCACATGTATTAATGTACAATTAGAAATACCGCATACCGGTTTAACGCTGTATTTTATCTACAGTCTGGCAATATCACCATGAAAAATGCATGTATTTAATCGTTAATATGGAGCAATTATTTATTATACCTAGGCACATTTTGCTTTTGCATAATACAAATTGCCAGCAGTTTGACGCAATTCTGTTATTCCACCTAGAAATGGAGCGATAATAATCAGGGGCAGAACAATTACGGAATGTTATCGTATACTGTGGAAAATTAAGGACACCATTTTATTACAACTTCATCGATAACTAAATAGCTAACATCGCTTTGTCCTCTTTTAGATATCATTGAATTTAGGTAATCGGTAGAGTAATGCAATGTAGAATGAATTCCTTTGGAGATAGGTGATCTCCACCTACCAATAGTCAATTTGTATGTTTTCAATTTTTGTTAGTTTGGTTTATCTTAGGATTGTCCTGTAAATGGTTTCCTTAACAATAAACGCTATTTATTCATTATTTATTATTTCAAGAAGTTTGATTTCGATAATAACGACTGTTTTTGAGCAAAAATACCCCGAAGTACCTTACATTGTAATGATTTTCAACGCCTGAAGAATAAAGGATACCTCCACCTATATTTAACAGCGTGTGATGGCTGCAATGTTAATATTGATAATGTGAGTTCTTGTAGTGATTCCCAAGAAACCATCCGAGACGAAGACTCGGCGCGCCGCGTCGGCCAGTGTGATAATATTGACACAGCATTTATAGTGCTGGTGCATCGGCCCATAAATAGGTTCCTCGTACAAACGTGGTACCAACCTGTTAATTAAACAGATATCCAACTCGATGCTGATGCTTTCAATATCCAACCACTTATAACTTGATTAATATTTATCTTTAATTTCTGTGGAGTCCTGTGTGTGTGTGATGTCGCCTCGCTTTGTATACACTCCACTTTACTACCTATATATTTTATGTTCGGCCTCTGTTTGCTCAACAATTTTTCGAAAGACGAGGTATACTGGGTTAGGTGTCGGTGGTAGTTAGTGGGCTCTTTGAAATATACCCTTCATGGAGACGCTTTTGTGGTCAGACTTCTTGGCAATGGTGCCAAGGTCCTAAACTTGCAGGGAAAAAATGAGGAATGGGGTAAGAAGGAGATACCGCATTGTTTTCGTATGAAAACTTGACTTAAAATATATTTTGCATTCTATTCTTACACTGCTGTTTATCATTTCATTTCTTAATTACATTATAATATACGCAAACGACGTGACAATACCCCTGAAAGTAGACCAAGACGTGATCCTGGATCTGCGCCTGAGCACAGCACATATTAAATCAACATTTGAACATATCAGGATATTGAGTTCGCTACAGACACGCGAATAATTCAAGTTATTAGAAACACCAATAGTAAATAGGCGCGGGCTTGAAATTCGAGCGACACTACTCGTATACCTCATTCGTAGTCCATTTACGCTCAGACAAAACACACATGCCCAAAAGCGAGATTGTACAGGTCCGTATTTTCCCAATGGCCTTAGAATAATCTAACAAAATAAATGATTAGTTTTACAGAAAGAAGTGCACATATTATCAAGTACAATTGTCGTCAAGTTTTGACAATTAGTTTCCAAGTTATGAAGTAAATTGTGAGGAAACATGAGTAACTTAAAATTAGAGCATTGCGGTATCATAAAGTTTCTGACGGAAGAGGACCATCAACCGAGAACAATTCTTGAGAGAATGATTGCCATCTATTACACAATAAAAATTAAATGTTGTTCGAAATAATCTCGGAGGGGGCATGAAGCCATAGAAGAAGATCCCAGAAGTGGAAGACCCAAAACAGCAACAAATGATGAAATGACTCAAAAAGTTGAATCCATGGTTCGTGTGAAGATCTCCACCATTAGTATGATATTGAATATATCGGAACCCAGCGTAATAACCATCCTACAAAAATTGCGCCAGTTGGAACTTTCTTAAAGTATATTAGAAACTTTGACCAACGGCTCTGACTTTTTGGCACAAATTGTGACGGCACCGAGACTTGGGTGCAACATTGGGATCCTGAGACAAAAATAGAATCCAAGCAGTGGGTTCATAAAGTATATCCACCCCCCAAAAGGCACAAACAGAATCCTATGCTGGAAAATTGTTGTACCGCTTTATTTCAAAAATTTATCCAGATACTAACATCATAAGAAAACGCCTTATCACGTCCTTTGTTCTCAATCAAATATAATTGAAAATATGTCAGAATGTGTGAAAGAAACTGAAAAAATGTTTCACTGAAATATAGGTATTCAGTTTTGATATTCTTAAACTTTGAGCATAATGCATAATACTACTTTGTTATAGTTTTGATAAGTTTATAATATGTCGTCCCAGTGAACATGATGAGGCCAAAATGACGTCATTATTCGGTCACTCTTGTTCAGAAACGTCATTGACTAAAAATACACATTTTTCAGGAGCACTTGGATACAACGCGTAATTGTTTTTGCGAGCGACTGAACGTCATATCGACCTCAGATGGACGGCATATCCACGTCATATAGACGTATCTCCTTTGTATTTGGTCTTTTATACGACATACAATGACGTTATATAGTAACGTCAATTGGGTGTGGCATTAGACCGTCATAATGACGTCATTTCTTTGTAATTTTTGTTAGTTGGTGTACGTCTGTAGTGCCTTTATGGCCTCCTTGATTTTCATAGTTTTCTACTGTTTCGTGTCAGCGCTCTATTTTGAGGTTATGTCACAAATATCTATTTGCATCAAATTGTTTATACTTTTGATTCATGTTTTATTAGCCTGCAATTTCCTACGATTCAAAAGATAACATAACTTCACAATAAGAGAATGCTGACGCTGACACGGAATAGGTGCAATCTAGAATTTTTTAAGAAGAGAAGAGACTATGACAGTCAAGGAGGCCATAAAGGCGTCTTACAATTGTAAGAACTACTGACGATACGGCCCTAAGACGTCACTATGTTCTCTGAATATGAATGGACTTTCAATGCGTAAATTAAAAATACGACTTCCAATAATAATACGATACGAACGATAGCTTTCGAATTTTCACATATATTTAGCATATTCAGCGAAATGTAGTAATCATTCCCTAACTCCCACAAAAATGGATGTCCCTATAGTACGAGGGATATCTTTTAAGTTTTGCATATAGAAACATAGTAGGCCGCGCGGATCGAACGTCAGTACTGAATCTTAACCTCACTCTTTAGTAAACTTAAATTCAAAGTTTCTCAACAATACATGCAGTGTTCTTGCTACAGTGAATTAAGTGTCACCAAGTCATCAGAAAAATGGAACTCAAGCGAGAACATTTTCGCGCCATAATTTATTACAACTTTCAGAGACAATTATCGCAACAAGAATGCCTTGCTGACTTACTGTCTGTTTTCGGCAACGAAGCGCCACATCAGTCGACAATTTCCCGTTGGTATGGAGAATTCAAACGTGGACTGGTGAGTCTTAGCGACGATCCCAGGAGTATGAAAATTAGTTTCTCGTTGGATACTCCACCTGTTGACTGAAGAACAGAAAGCAGTCAGGATTAATTGGCGTCAAAAAACGCTTGACCGTTTGAATTCCGGAAACTCAAAAAATGTGTACAGCATTGTTAGTGGCGATGAATCGTGGATTTACTCTTATGAACCAGAAAATAAACGACAGTCGACTGTTTGGGTGTTCCAAGGTGAAGAACAGCCAACAAAGGTCAACCGTTCTCGAAGTGTTTCGAAAAAGATGGTCGCGACATTTGTGTCAAAAGCAACAATTCCTCTTAATGAGCAAAGAACTGTTACTGCGGATTGGTATACCAGCATTTGTTTGCCAAAAGTCACCACCGAGCTTCGAGAAATCAACCCCGAAAGAAGAATCATCCTCCACCAAGACAATTCAAGCTCGCACACAGCCCAAGGAACAAGGCAGTATTTAACGGAAGAAAACGTGGAATTATTGGACCATCCTCCATATAGTCCCAATCTAAGTCCTAAAGATTTCTTTACTTTCCCGAAAATTAAAAACAGACTGTGTGGTCAAAGTTTCCAGTCACCAGAAGAAGCAGTTGACGCATTCAAAAATGCTGTTTTGGATCTGCCAGCAAACGAGAGGAATAAGTGCTTCGAAAATTGGCTCGAGCGCATGCAGATGTGTATTAGTCGTGGAGAATACTTCGAAAAACAATGAAGTCATTTAAAACTACCTACCGTGTTGTTTTATTTCTATATGCAAAACTTAAAAAACATCTCTCGTCCCCCTCCTAATTCCGCACCTGTTTCTTTTTCATCCAGTTGAGGTTGTATAACTGGTTGCATATCTTTGCTGTTTTTGTAATTGTCAACCTAAAAATTTCCGAATGTTGACAATTTGATGAACGATGAAGATAAAAACAAGTAAATATTTGGTACAAATGTTATGTTTATGTATCTGTAGCATAAAAACCTCAGTTTGTAAGAGGACAAATCGATTGCATTAATATTACTAGATAAAATTGTGTAAACTTTCACAGTGATGAGTAGTCTTGGTCCATGGATAAACAATGCATAAACAAGATGTAAGTAGTTTTTTGAGCCTTTGTAACAGCTAAGAACTCAGAAAATTGTTTCAAAGACGTTTAGAGCTTATACCCAGATATATACAAGATTTGGAAAATAATTAATTGTGAATATTAGGCGTTTTTCATTTTTATTTATTTGTAGATATTTTATCAGCCCCCTGCTCCAGCCAGCCTGAGCAAAGACAAAGTGAGCATTTGGAATGCTTGGTGCTGTAAAGGGGACAAAGAAGTATCTCGAGAAGCTGCTACCAAAGGTGCAAAGCATGTAGAACTTGTTACACAGTTTTTATCTGCTAGGAGGAGAATAACATCTGATGAGGCTAATTCTCTATTAAAAAATGAGGTAAGTAAAGAGAGGTAGGGAATTTTGAATAAAATTTAACAATTTCCCGTCAACATGATCGATATGAGACTCATTGAAGCAACTTTTATTTGATTGAGTGTCAGGCACTGTTTTGTGTTTTGAATTTCGAATGCCCTGTATACTAAGGCAGAATATAAATACACTATTTTAGATCTAAAAAAGTTTAAAACAAACATCATATAAGTAACATATTTCACATATAAAATCTAGCTCAATCAATCAGCCAGTATATGCAGTATTTTTTATTTACCCAAAAACTGTACATAATAAAAATATGTGTACTGAAGGACCTGTGGAACCTTGAATGCACAGATATTTCTTGAGTCTGCTGGAGCATATTAGGAGGATCAATCAAAAATTTATGTTCATGAAAGAACTTAAGTTGTTCATCTCAAATACTTCTAGGCAAAACATACATAATATAATATCTGTGATGATTATATTAGGCCTCATAAATGTATTGAAATGGTTGTTGTGATGTCTATATACTTACTTTGTCTTTTTATCCATTTTTCTCTCTTCCTCTATTTCCGTTACAGAATTTTAATAACATTTTGTTATGTATTCGATGAATATGTCAGTTCTTTCCAAAAATGTAAAATTAACCGACTTAATACGATTTTAACGAATTTATATGCTTGTTTTAATCACACATTTTCAAATTACCGATTATGGATTACCTTAGGGATTTTATGGCCAATATTGTGAACCAGTTTTAGTCGAACTGTATTTAAGTGTGTGAACTATTTTTTATAGTGGAATACATGAATGACTGTTATTTTACTAATATTAGCAAATGGATGGGAAATTTAAAAAATGTGCTGTATCCATATAAATAATATGAGTATCCATACCAGATTAATGTTTTTGTAATTTGTATAATCCCACACACAAGCTTGTTTGTGTAGGTTTCCTGTTTGTTTACCATTCTAAACTGTGTATGCTTCCATATTCATTTTACAATTTTATCTTTATTTTTGGTAAATAAACTTTACATAATTAACTGATTTGTCATACTTCTTGTATCAACTCGAGCTCTCCTGGAAAATTTTTAACACTGCAGCTATGTCTAAATATCTTCATAGAATATAAAAACTCGATTGAAAATTACTTTTATCCAAATACCAATTGGAGGATGAGACTGCAATGTTAGCTAAAGTGTCAGAGTGGCATCCTCAGATGACATTGACCAGCTTTAAGTAGCTTTTTTTGAGATTCATACTGTGTATTCCCAAAGTTATTTTAACTGCTTGTAGGACTCGTCTAAGGCCCGTATCGTCAGTCGTCCCTACAATTGTAGGGCGCCTTTATGGCCTCCTTGATTGTCATAGTTTTATACTTCTCTGTGTCAGCGCTCTATTTTGAGGTTATGTCACAAACATCTATTTGCATGAAATTGTGCTTGCTTTTGAGTTATATCATGTTTTATCACCCTGAAATTTCCTACAATTTAAAAAGAAAACATATCTTCACAATAGGAGAGCGCTGACGCTGACACGGGACAAGTGTAATCTAGAAATTTTTGAAGGAGAGAAAGCAGTATGACAATCAAGGAGGCCATAAACGCGCCCTACAATTGTAGGGACGACTGACGATACGGGCCTAAAGGAGTTGATATTCCAAAAATCACCTATACATATACAGGGTGACGTGAAAATAGATGCGGAGACGGTGGGGGGAGATAGTACAAGCCAATCTGAGTCGATTTTACTATAGGAACTACTGTCCGAAAATTAGCCGTTTTCAAATTATAGTAATTTTTAAGATTTTATAAAATTAACGTCCTGAATACGTTAACCAAGTCATAAAACTTGAAAATTGGGTGTTTCATTTGATTTTTTTTTTGTTTTACAATAAAAATATTCTAAAATACGAAAATTGATACTCAAATGTACATTATTGACGTTATCTCATGCAGTAAGCTTCAAAATAAGAAAATCTTCGTTCATCTTAAAAGCTTCAGTTTACTAGAAAAAGCCGCATACAAATTTTTCGTACAAACTAATTAGAAAACATCTACATTTCATTGCCTTTCAAATGAGGTATAAAAATCACAAATCGATTAAGAATTGGCAAAAATATGACTATTATAAGAGGAGGAAGGAAAAAGCAATAAAAATACTACACTTACAAAATCATACCTTAATACAGGATAATTTGTTTGAAACTACATTTTTTTTATTTTTATAAAACATTTTCAATATGGCGCCCTCTATTTCTAATGCACAACGTGCTCTTCTTATGACAGCTGATTTTACTACCGCCGAATTCCTTGAGGCTTGAATTTCTTGTGCTGCATGTATTATCCTGTTTCGGAGGTCTTCTATTGTGGGTACAGGATTTTGATCAGAGTATACTAAAGTTTTCATGCGACCCCACACAAAAAAGTCCATAGATGTGAGATCGGGACTGCGTGCTGGCCATGGGATTGGTCAGCCTCTACCGATCCATCGATTCGGAAACTGCTCATTTAACCAATTGCTACCACTTGGTCTGAAAGTGCTGCGCATCCGTCATGCTGAAAAATCATCATGTGTCTTGTGTGTAGCGGCACGTCTTCAAGTAATAATTCAAATAGAACATTTCTTAAGAAATTTTCGTATGCTTCTCCATTTAAGTTGTCGTGTAGGAAATGTGGTCCTACCAAACAGTTATTTATAATGCCCATCCAGACATTCAGACAAAATCGCCTTTGAGATCCTTTTGGTCTCTTTATATGAGGATTCCCCACTGCACGTTCACGCTAATAGTGAGCGTTATGGTAGTTTGTTATGCCGTCTTTATCAAATTTTAATTCGTCGATCCATAGAATTTTTCTTAAATAATTGCTATCTTCAACATCAGCGTTTAAAATAGAACGACAAAATTGCATGCGCCTCATGGGATCTCCTTCCTCTATGACGTGCACAGGTGTGTAGTGGTAAGGGTGGAATATGTTTTCATGCAAAACATACCACACTTGCCATTGGGATAATCCAAGTCGTCGAGCCACAGCGCGAGTAGAGAGAGTAGGGTCTCTTTGAAAGTATTTAATGTTTCTTCTTCTTCCACATCATGTCGAGGTCTACCTGCATCACCTGAAATAAAATGACAAAACAAATAACAACAGTTTTTTTGGAGGAAATTGTTACCTAACAAAGATAGCGGCAAGAGTATGAACTAGAGTTGGCAAAATATTATTTAGAAAAAACGATACGCAACGTGTGGATGTTTCCATCTTCAGAGCCGTGTAGATGCTCGTGTTAAAATTAAATGAATAAACTCTTAATTAAGAAGTTCAATCAACTGTATCAAAACAACTATGTTACGGCATCATCAGTTCAGCCCACAGACCTCCAAGGCTCTACATAGGCCTTACTGCATGACTGATTATGATAAGTTAATTATTATCGATGATGCAAACTTACCTTGATATCTTACGACGGTACCGCGCTCTCGAACTCGACGGAACGTTTGCCTAAATACGCGGACGACAGGTAGGCGACAATTAGGAAACATTTCCCCCTACTCACGACGAGCTTCTTCAGCATTACCTCTGGCATCTCCATAGTAGAAAAGGATATCGGCATATTCTTCGAAACTGAACGGCCGCCTCCTTTGTTCATCAGCCATTGTACATCGATAGGTAGATCAACGAACAATCAATTCACACAGCAGCCAAGTCGTAAGGAATCACAGAAAACAGGGTACAGTCTAGGTCGTCAGGAAAAGAATCACACAAGAGCCAAGTCGTTAGAAATATCAAAACCGCGAGCAAACAAACACTTCCGTACGCTACAAATCGCAAGAGCAGATTGAAGCGAGGGAGAGAGGGGGCTAGTCTTACTTATCACACTATTCCGGTGGCAAAGTCCGTTCGCGGCTCTACCTGTTTCTTTCACTCATATCTTTGTCATTTCTAAACCGGTTTGTGACTTTGATACCTCATTTGAAAGGTAATGAAACGTAGAAATTTTAAAATTGTTTTGCACGAAAAATTTGTAGGTGATTGTTTCTAGTAAATTGAGTTTTTGGGATGAACGAAGATTTTTTTTAACAAAAATTGAACTATTTTGAAGCTTACTGCATGAGATAACGTCGATAATGTACATTTGAGTATCAATTTTCGTATTTTAGAACATTTTTATTGTAAAACCAAATAAAAAAACAAATGAAGCACCCAATTTTCAAGTTTTATGACTTGGTTAACGTATAAAGAACGTTAATTTTATAAAATCTTAAAAATTAGTATAATTCGAAAACGTCTAATTTTCGGACAGTAATTCCTATAGTAAAATCGACTCAGATTGGCTTGTACTATCTCCCCCCACCGGCTCGGCTTCTATTTTCCCGTCACCCTGTATAAGTTGCATAATAAAAGAAATAGTAAAAATACAACATATCAAATAAAAGAAAATAGGTGATAGTCATTCCTCATTAGGTTTCTATTGGGCCTTCCAAAACATGAACAAGACATTGACATATATGTGTCACTTAAACACACATTTTTCAGGTGCTGGCTTGGGTGAAGGAGCTACTAGATCGAAAGCAGATTTTCAGAATCTCACATATTCTCAATAATATTGGCATCGATCCGAACACCGAACTACAAAACGTCTTTTATACCACTGCAGATACTGAGCTCAGAGAATATATAGGCAATCATTTGAAAAATTTAAAGAAATTAGATGAAAGATTATCGAACCTGTGGCATTTCTTAGACCTTGTTTTAAAAAATAATGCTTTGGTTTCGAAGCAAAAACTGAGCAAAGATAGTATTGAGTGTCTAGAAAATCAGGATAGTGAATGGAAGTCTGAGATAGCTGCCAAGTTATTTTTACGAACTTATGGTAAGTATATTTTTTATGTATATGTATAAAAGATAATTTGGTAACAATAAATAGTATTCGTTAACATCTCAATATTTTTTCAGATACAGTTTTGGTATATTTCTTTAACGAGAATGCTCTTTGGAAACAATTAATATTTTACAATGATGTAAAGCTGTTGAAAATGTGGATTCAAATCAGGTATAACAACATTGAAGACAGTGGAGCTCCAGACAGCTTGAAGAATGTGTTTGAAAGATTTCCTATCACAACAGAAATGGTGAACCAGCTGAATACCTCAGAAGCGTTTGCTAACACAAAAAAGACGATTTTGAATGGTCTGAGTTGTTATGGAATCTTTGCCGATGAAGATAAAAGTTGCCTCTTAAAATTACTTCACAGAATGAATGAAGCCGGAATTGTACAAAATACGTACGAAATAATTGAGAAACAAACATCAAATCTCGATCAACACGTTTTTCTACAGCTACTAGTAGAGTACTGTACGAAAAATAAGCTTTTTCCAGTACTGAGTAGTTGTGTTGAAAGGCTTGATATTTCTGAAGAAAATAAAGATCTCTGTGAAGATATTTCTCTAATATATTCTCTAAGAAAGTTGAATTTCTCAGATAGAACGTTATTACGTGATAACATTTTTTATGTTGCTAAGTTTTTATCAAACGATTTAAATAATTATTTCAAAGAAAATCCTTTAATTCTGCTGTCTATAATTGTTTTTACTGAAGATCTAGATTTTGAAAATTTAATGCAGGCATCATCTCTCAGTCTTTTTGATACAGACCTACTCCCAGCCTTAAAACATTTGCTAGGAAACTTTAGAATACTGAAAGCTGTCTATGAATATAAAAAGGTATTGATAGAGAGCAATGTCACTTATTTTGACCTACTAGAGAAACATACGGGTGTTGACACAAAAAGCTTATTTCACGCAGTTCCAATGCCCAATTTCACTACATCAGAACTAGTAGAATCATATGGTTACCAGAAGAAAATTAATTATCTCTTTTATGTGAGAGAACAAAGGCCAAGCATAGCTGCCAAGTTGTTCTTACTAGAACATTACAAAGAATCAACTATTCTTCCTGAAGATACTGTTCGTTATGTTCAAAAGAAGATATTTACCATAGCCCTGAGAAACTTTAACAGCTATGAGATTCCTTCCAGTTGTATATCCTTCTTAGAAATGGTAGGAATCAACTCCAACTTTTTGAGAGTAGCGGTAACAGCGGCACATGTGTTATACGAATCGACAGGGAACTTTGATTATGTTTTGAAGTTGTTTCTGAACATTGAGAAAGATGCCCACAGTATTTTGAACAGTTTAGAAGAATGTATCTTAGAAAAATTAACTTTGAGTTTACCAATGGCGCAGCTTTTGTCGGTAAGTTATTTTTCCTATTATATGTACAGTAGCGGACAAAAGTTTGGAAACAAATATTAATATTAATTATTTATTATATTATTAATAACATTAAAGTTAGAAAAAAGTTATGTGAGGCTATTATATTTCCTAGCTTATTTTACTGTAGCACTGTGTTCTATCATTGTCTTGATTCTATCACAAAAGCAAGACTCCAAAAACTCCAAAATACTTGTTGTTGATTTGTATCTAATCTCAAGAAGTATGATCATGTTTCCTTAAAGAGATTTCAGCCTTGTTGGATGTGTATAGAAAATGCATGCAAGTACCATATAGCAGTGTTTACACATAAGATCATATCTTCTCGCTTCCCCTTGTATCTTTATGAGAAATTTGTTTTCAGACGAAGTAATTCAGACATTGATTTATAACGAATTAGATGACAATATAAAGGATTGGCCAGTAAACAGATTTCGTAAGCATGTGAAACAGATTTATTTGTCATTGTAGTAATTGTGGAAAAGTTAGTTTTCAATACTTATATTTTATTTTTTATTTAGCTGCTTGTCAAATTTTCCTTTGATTAAGTGTTTCAATTTACTATTTGGGTAGGTAAAGTAGAGTAGCCAAGAGCTAGACTTCGCCTACGTAGAGGTCACATTATATTGTAGTTTTTATAATGTGCCTAATAATTATTATTATTATTTTAATTAAAATAAGAGAAATACGAAAAATGTCGAACCTTCCTATTAAGCACGGTGGAGGCAACATCATGGTTTGGGGCTATTTTTCTAGTTCTGGAACGGGTCCAATTGTTAAAATTGTTGGGAAAATGGATCCAAAACTTTACAAACATAATCTTAGTAAACACTTGCTCCCTTTTGCTGAAGAAGAAATGCCTTTACGATGGACAGTCGAGCAAGATAATGACCCCATGCACACCTCAAAATTCGTAAAGGATTGGTTAAAACTAAAAAATGTTAATGCTCTTACATGGCCTTCGCAATCCTCGTACCTAAACAATATAGAACATCTCTGGGAGCATGTTAAAAGACAACTGAAGAAAAACTTTTAAGAATAGGAACGATTTATTTGGTTATGTAAAAAATATTTGGCAAAATATCCCAACAGACGTCTGTAAAAAATTGGTGTTTTCTATGTGCAGCACATGTCAGGCAGTGTTATTGTATTTAATTTTGCAATAAAACATATGTTTTCATACTTTTGTCGTCTCATTTTTGGTCATAAAATAATTTGAAGGTATTTTAATGCTAGTCTGTAGTACCAGTAAAAAATTAGCGCACTTTTTAAAAATTACTAAGAATGTTTCCAAACTTTTGTCCGCTACTGTACATACCCAGTGACATTAGAAGTGTTACACACAGAAAAAATAATTTCTTCAACTTGATTTTTTGGCAATCAGGTAGACTTACATCAAGAATGAGACGATAATATTCTCACGAAATTTTATTGACCAGTAATAAGAAAAAAAAATAATAATGTGTTGATCGAACGCCTGCTTCTTGAAGAAAGTCCGTAGTGCGACGTGCAATATGGGGACGTGCGATGTATTTTCTTTTTTCTATTATTATTATTATTACGTGGACCCCCGATAATCCAGCGCCCCCTGTAATCCGACATGTCTTTGAATATGTATTACATACATACGTATTTGACAATCTTCGCCAATGTAGATCACGCAGGTTTGAACAGGTTACAACTTGTACGCGCCACCGCTATCGTGCTCGACGCGTAAGCATTGTTTTACTTAGTTTGAATTTGACTACTGGTGATAGCGGTACGGCCCAGCGTGCGTTCATTGTTTACTATTTATTCATTGTGTATTAAGTATAGTACCTAGTAATTTCATCACAAACTCAGAAGCGAAAGCACAAAACATTGACAATTAAAGAAAAATGTGATATTTTAGACCGCTTATATCGCAATGAATCTTTCAGTAGTTTAGCAAGTGAATACGGCGTACTCCGATCTACAATTTATGATATTGAAAGAAACCACGAGAAGATCAAGAAGTTCATGTCAACTACTGGCTGCGGGCCAGGCAAGAGACAGACACTCAAGAAAGCTGTACATGCAGAAGTGGAAGAAGCTTTGTACATGTGGTTTTTTCAGGAAAGAAATAGGCATGCACCAATTTCAGGACTCATGTTGGCCATGAAAGCTAAGTTTTTTTATAAGGAAATAACAAAAAAAGATGATTTTGTGGCCAGCAAAGGACGGCTAGAACGTTTTAAAAGTCGTCATGGCATACGTTTAATGACTATTACAGGAGAGAAACTTTCTAACAATGCCACCTGCATAGAGTCCTTTAAATTAAGATTTCTGCAAAAGGTGAACTATTTAAATCTTGACCCGTCACAGGTGCAGAATGCAGAGGAATCAGGGCTTTTTTGGCATGTGATGCCTAACAAAACTTTCGTTTCTTGTAAAAGTAAGTAAAGAGCGTGTAACCATACTACCATGTGCTAACGCTGCGGGCACACACGCGCTTAAGAAGATAGTCATTGGGAAATCTAATAAACCACGGGCATTCAAAAACATTGATTTACCTGTACACTATTACGGACAAAAAAGTGCATGGATCACAAAAGACATTTTCAAAAAGTGGTTTGATGAATGCTTCGTACCTGAAGTTAGAAAATTGTTAAAAGATCATAATTTTTCTCAAAAAGCGTTGTTGCTTCTTGATAACGCTCCCGGTCATCCGTCTGAAGAAGAACTAACAACTGAGGATAAATGCATCACTGCGATGTTTTCTCCGCCAAACTGCACTACACTGATTCAACCAATGGACCAGAATATCATTCAGTTAGTCAAGCAAGACTATAAGAAAAACCTACTTCTGAGAGCCGTATCAAAAGACCAACCAATAGAAAAAACTTTTAATATGAAATACTTGGTTTTTGCTCTTTGTCAGTCGCGGAATGCGTTACCGTCATCAACTATTAAATCGTCTTGGAAAAAGTTATGGCCAGATATAGTCACCACTCCTAGCAACGATCCACAAATCAGTGTTACTTCGGAAGTTATAGAACAAGCTGCTACTGAAACACTGATAAGTCCGTAAGATTTGGAAATCTGGTGCCGTTGAATGGATAAAGAGGAAAATGTTTTTTTATTAAATGACTGACAAAGAGATTATAAAAGAGGTTTCTGATTATATAACAAACAATCAGGAAAATAACGACGACGTGATTGCAACTGCTCCACAAGTCACAGCACAAGACGCAATTAACGCCTTTGAGCTAGGTTTACAATGGGCTGAAGAGAATGGTACATCCTATAACGAACTTTTACTTTTGAGAAGACTGAGGGACAAAGCTCTGATCTCGCGTTATAACAACCTTAAACAAAAATAAATTGATGAATATTTCCAAGCTTCATAATTTGATAAATTCATTAATGATTTTGATTAATAATTCTTGATTATTTTGGTAGATATGTATGTGCATTCATGCTTAATTTTATAATAAAACGTAAGCTCTCTATTGTTATTTAATTTATTAAATTCGACATACATAAACTATGTATGATTTGTACTTCAAAGTACATACATGTACATAACATATATAATCTTACCATTGGATATGTAATTTGTCGGATTACAAGGTACCCTTTTGTAAAAAATTCAGAACTATAGGCAGTGCTCTATAATCCGACAAATTCGATAATCCGACACTGCCCTGCATAATGTTTGTCGGATTACCGGAGGTCCACGGTATTGTGAAGGTTTTTCGAAATTTCAATCTTTCATAACTCAAATGTCGCAGTAACAAAAAAAGGTCCTTAAAAACTGATAGTGATACAGTTTTTATTGTCTCCTAAAAGATTCAAATTATGGGACGTACGAGGTTTTTGCACTGACCGATTCAATTTAACAGTATCTTTATTGTAATGAGAGGTAAAAGTATGATGATAAAACTCAAATAATTTTTTTACAGATGCTATTAAAACCTATGACATAGTAGTGAAATTCGCGACTTGCTACAACCTCAAACTGCCCGTAATGTTCCTGACAGCATGCGCAAGCAACAACTGGTGGCTTTCTTTCCTGACATTCGCCCAGCTGAATAATTATCCCATAGAGCAGATAAAACTGGCCGTTCAATCCTTCAGAAATGCCAATTTACTGGAACACGTGAGCCACAGCGTAATGCACGACATCCACGTTGACGATCAGAGCATTCTGATGCGCGAAAGGGACTCGAGAAAATACCTTTTGTCTAAGATAGGCTTGAGGAAGAGTATAGACAGCCTGAATCAGAGCGAGTCGTACTCCGGTGTTACATCGCATTCGAGTCATGGCAGCACAAATTCAAGTTCTGCGGGTTCGGATTTGTTGGAAATTGACATTTCGAACACAAAAGCGACGTTGCTGCAAACGCTGATCAGATGTCACAACAGCACAGATCCGCCAAGAGCGCTGTTGCAGGCTTGCCAGTTGTACAAGAATCCGTTGCTGGCAGTTTTTGCTACCAGCTATGAGGTAAGATGGTCCATAATTCTAAAATACTCAACTAATAGTATGTTTGCTGTTGAGGGAGTCTAATAGCAACTCAAAATAAACAATGCAAATACAGGGTGGCCAATGTATAACTGACACGCATTTTAGTAGGTGGTAGTTGTGTCAAATTCGTCATGGAGCGCTACACGATCCCACAACGTATCCGTATTGTTAAAACGTTTTACTTAAATAACACTGGTCAACAAAATTTTAACTTTGTCGTGCCACACGGACTTTTTTGATATTTTTTACTTTAATTGGTGATTGTAAGAAAAAATAAACAGTTAAAAAAATTTGCTAGACAAGGATTTTGTTCTATTGAGTAATTTAAAATATTAAGAAAAAACACAGATCTCGTAAATCAAAAGTTATTTTTTTTATAAATGACTTAATAATCTAAGATTTTCTTGAATATTTAGCTTCTGGTTGGTCCCTTTTAATTGTCCAGCAGTAATCTGCTAACATATTTGGGCTCCATTTGCCCTGGTACCGCTTTTCCATATTAGAAATGTCCTGATGGAACCTCTCACCGTGCTCGTCGCTGACAGCCCCTAAATTGTCAGGAAAAAATCCAGGTGCGAGTCTAAAAAATGGATCTTAAGTGACATGTTGCAACCCAATGCTTGATATGACAATAATAGCTCGCTAACCAACTCTCTGTAGCTGTCACTCTTGTGGTTACCCAAAAAATTTGAAACAACATTTTTAAAAGCCTTCCATGCAGATGTTTCTAAATCGCTTAATTTTTCTTCAAATCTTGAATCTTTTATTAACTCCCTAATTTGAGGGCCAACAAAAATACCCTCTTTTATCTTTGCATCACTTATTTTAGGGAATTTTTCTTTTAGATACAAAAATCCACTCCCATTGCGATCCATTGCCTTCACAAAATTTTTTATTAATCCTAATTTGATATGCAATGGTGGTAGAAGCACATTATTTGGCTGTACAAGGGGTAAATACTTTACGTCTTTTTGCCCAGGAACTAACGATGCACGCGTAGGCCATGTTTTTTTATATAGTGATTAGTTCTGTCTCGGCTATCCTATTCACATAAAAAGCAGCAAAACTTTGTATAACCCAGCTGAAGTCCAAGTAATAGTGCAACAACTTTAAGATCACCGCAGATTTTGAAGGAATATGTACTGTAATTTATTTTTTCAAGTAAAAGTTTCATATTTTCATAGGTTTCTTTCATATTTGCAGCATGGGCCAGAGGTACAGACGGAAGCTTATTTCCATTATGCAATAACACTGCTTTTAGACTTGCTTTCGAAGAATCAATGAATAAACGCCACTGAGAGAGATCAAAATCTATGTCCAACATTTTCATAATCTCATTTATGTTATTGCAAAACACCAAATTTCCATCCTGAGAAAAATACGTTCTGAAGTGTTGATCACGGTTTCGAAATTAGCTAACTTTTGTAATATGATGTAGCAAATTCCATTCTTTTAGACGTGATCCTAATAGTTCTGACTGCTTTTTTGACAAATTTAAATTCCTTTTAACTCAAATTCATCGTCCTCGTCAACACGTTCACCTGAAGTGGACGGTTGTGATTGTTCTCAACAGACGTAGTTGCAACTGGTATTAGTTCTGGCAATTTTTTACAATGAGAGACTGGTCTTATAGCCGAAGATAAGTTAGGGTAAATAACTGTTTTTTTTATTGTAATTTATACCTTTTATGTCTGTGAGACAAAAATAGCAATCTGAAACGTGATCTCGCTGTTCAGTCCATATCATGGGTACAGCAAACGACATAGATCGTGCACCTTTCTTCCAGTCAGTTACATTTTTCACACACGTTATGCAACAGACATGAGGGGCCCAGGATTTGTCTTGATGGGCGACAGAAAAACCAAAACATTGCTGATAACATTCCAACACAAGATTCGTAAAATTTCGTCGTTGTTTTTTGAATGTTAGTTCTCCGCAGACATAACAAAAAGAGTTAGGATCATTATTACACTTCCTCGACATATTCACAGCGTTAATAAATCACAAAAAAGTGTTCAAATTCAACAACAAATATTTTTATAAGGATTTACTTGTAAGCGTTTCTGTTAATTTACTGCCGTAGTACTAGTTATGAGTATTACCGTATCACAACAAATATGAGGCTAATAGACATATGACAGCTGTCATGTAATAATGAGGGTAGACTGATAAAACAAAATTAGCTGTCAAAGTTCGTGTGGCAAAACCAGTGTTGACCAGTGTAATCAGTCGATTGTTGCAACGACTCTGAAGCTACGACAAGATTTAGGACGAATTAATGTGCCCAGGATCAACACCATTCTACAGTTGGTGGGGAAATTTGAACAAACAGGTGAAGTTAAAGTCTTGCCAAGGTCGGGCCATGTTCGAACTTTTCGTACTCCGGAAAATATCAAGAGAGTTCGTGAAAGTGTAGTTGAGCGCCCTGAGACGTCTACCAGACATCGTTCTCAGTAGCTGGGTATTCGTCGCACGCAGGGGCGGCTGGCCCTTAAGTTCTGCAGAACTGCCAATACTTTTGTCTTAACAGAAAAAAGCAGGTGTATTTGATCATTATTTATTTTCCATGTTATCACACAAATAGAAACAATACCGGCCTGCCCCCGCAAGACACGGCGTCGAGTCTGTTTTGTACTGAGAAAGCATTATAATCGACCAATTATGTACTTGTCATTTTCGTCGCGACCGCAACGTACTATAACATTATTCATGGGCCACTTGGAAAAGGGTCTGTGCACTATTTCGACGCGCTTGCTTTTGTCTCTCTCTACAAAATCACATGCGCGATTTAAGCATAAGCATGTGCTGCAATTTATACAGATCCGTACAGATCTAATGCGAAGTACGATATCTGATTGGTCGATCGGTGCTGGGTCCTCGGCGGTATTGGCAAATTGGCCTTGTCGCGTGACGTGGCTTAAAATTTGAATGCGTAAAAATTTTTATTTAGGTATTTTGGGTCTTACGTTAAGTGACTAGTGACTCACTGACTGACTGTGGCTGTGTAGAAGGGTAGTGCAAGACAATGCATGTAGTTTACAGACTTATAAGCGTGAAACGATTCTGAAAATCTACATTTGAAGAAAAAATTGAGCTGAAGGTGGCAGGTCGACCGCTGCGGGATTTATTTATAGAAACACAGGGCGTTAGTCGGGGCAAGGGCTATACGCGGCATTTCAGCAGGGAGATTTACAACAGAAATGACTGGATTTGTGCGTGCAACAGGAAGAATGCCTTCTTCTGTTTTCCTTGCATACTTTTCGGCGGTGGCAAAGCTTGGACGGAGGTAGGTGTTACAGATTTAGTGCACCTGAGTGAAAAAATTATGGAGCATGAAAACTCTAAAACACATCTTCATAATTCGATGAAATTGGCTTTATTGGGGACTGTTAACATCAGAGCTCAGTTACATTCAGCATATTGGAGAAATATACAACCGCATAATGATACCGTTACAAAAAACAGGTACGTTGTATCAAAAATAATCGATTGTATAACATTTTGCGGAGCATTTGAATTGGCGCTACGGGGCCACCACGAGAGCTCCCAAAACCCGGGAATATTTCGTGGACTGATTAATTTTTCTGCTGAGCTTGGTACAACCTTAAGCGAACACATAAAAAATGCTTCAATATTTAAAGGAATTTCGAAAGAAATACAAAACGATCTACAGGATTGTATTCTTGACGTTTGTCATGAAGAAATAATAAAACAGATTAACAGAGCCTCCTATTTGGCGATAATAGCAGATGAAAAAACGAACATTTCGGGGAAAACCCAACTGGTAACAATTTTCAGATACCTATTTAACGGCGAATCAGTAGAACGTTTTTGGAATTATATGAATCCCGAAAAATGTGACACTGATACTCTCACAAGACATATTTTGAGCGTCGTACATCCATTAATAGGAAATTTCCCTAACAAACTGATTTCACAAAGGTATGATGGAGCCGCGGTAATGAGCGGACATAATGCTGGAGTACATGCAAAAATTAAACAAACATATCCATTTGCTCACTATGTGCATTGCTATGCGCATCAGTTAAACCTGAATATGTCCCCAGCTGCTTCCGCAAAGTTCGGGTGTTCTTTGGGGATTTGAAAGATATTCCGGGATTTTTTAATAATTCTCCTCAACGCGTAGAGGTACTGAACAGAATTGTGGGGAAAAAAATTCCCCAAGGAGAAACAACTCGTTGGAATTTTAATATTCGAACAATAAATGTAGTGTTTGAGAACCGAGAATCACTCATTGAATGCATGGAAGTAATAGAAGAAAATTTCACTAATGAAACCGTTTGCAAGGCAGCTTGCGGTATACGCCGTATGTTAAACGATTCGGTTTTCGTGTTTTGGTTGACATTTTTTCACCATGTCATGCCTCACGTCGACATCTTGTTCAACCAGTTGCAGAAGAGAAAAACCGAGCCAGCGCAAGTTAAAACGGCTATCGATAATTTTGAAAAATGTATTGTCGATGTGAGAAATAAAATTGATGACATAATAAATGAAGCCAAAAGTATTTGAACTGAACCCCAAGGCAACAAAAGGAGGCGACGTAATAAAGCAGTCACGATCATCGAATTGCCGCATTAGAAGTATGTGAGAATATAGTGAATTCTGCAAATGACAGATTTCAATTCAAAGATTATTTGGTAGCCGCATCCCTTTTTTCCCCGAACACTTTGGAGAATACTGTGGTAAGTTTCCTGATGACAAATTTGAAACTACCTGCTTGGCTTATCCCGAATTAGAAAAAAGTCGTTTAAAGACAGAGTTGTATGTTATTTATGCACGGAATGATTGCCGAGATTTACATGGAACTGTGTCTCTTTTGAAATTTTTGATACAAAATAGTTTGAGGGAAACACTAAAAGAAACAGAAAAGCTATTAGAAATTATTGTTACAACTCCTGTGTCAACATCAGAGGCTGAGCGAAAGTTCTCAACATTGAAAAGAATCAAGACCTTTCTTCGAAATACTATGACCCAGGATCGCCTTACAGCGTTGTCGATGCTGTCCATTGAAAAGGAATTTATTTCGACCATGGAAAATTTCAACGGGAAGGTGATCGACAAATTTGCTGCCAAGAAGGAGCGCAGGATCGGACTGACATAAAAAATAGGTAAGTTCGGATTTACAGAACACCTGTTTTATTTTGCCACGAGCCGCCACTGGTCGCACTTCATTGTGTACTATTTTGAAAAGACTTGCATTTGAGGCCATACAAGATCCAGTTAACCCAAGAACTATAGCCTAGTGACCATGAAAGTAGCCGACAATACAGTCATGCAATATTGCAGCTTATTACCCAAAATAACGATTTTTACCGACAACTGATAATGAGCGATGAAGAACAATATTACGGAAGCGATTGAAAATATTCCTCCTGAAACCTGCCAAAAAAGTGATGAAAAATGTAATCAAGAGGGCTCAGAGGCGGACATTTGTCTAACATAATTTGTAAGTTTGAATAAAAGATTTAGATGAAAAAGATGGACGTATCTTATTTTGTTTCACAAATATTCAAGATACAAACCAGTCAGTTACATATCGGCTATCCTACATTCATTTAGAAAATCAGGTTTGGGTGTAAAATGTAAGTGCGAAAAGATCGCAATTTCTGCTGAGCTATAGAACTGAGAGTTACTCCATTATTCAACTTTTTCACCCGACAATTTTTAAAACATTTATTTACAATTTAGTTCTTTTTCAATTGAAAAATTTTCCGTCCTGTCTGATATTAATTCTAACTAGTTTTTGCAATCTATTTGCGAGTTACATTGAATACCTTTCTTATTTCAGCCTGATTCGGTGGTGACAAACTGGCTTACTTGGCTAGCAGTTTCCTCGGATTTATGTGAAGCTTTCACTAACTACGAGACCATTGCATTTTGTTCACATTCTGTGATGACGTTACTCAATAATTGTATGAAGCATCAATTCCCAAAGACAGTACTCGAAAGCTTTGAAATATTCCTTCCGGTAAGTTAGAAATCTGATTTCGCAAAATAATTAACTTGTCTCATTTAGCGTTGTATCATTTTGTATACTGGCTTTTCAGTCGCTGGTAACTCTAACCTGGAAGTTAACTATCAGATACCCGGAAATGCGTTGCTTTTACGCTCAGAAGTATTGTAGCCCATGTTACAGAGAGAGAAAAAATATATATTTCGTATTTGATGATGTTAAATTAGTTAGACTTAATGGAAATATATTATTTTTTACTTTATAAATGAATATAATTACAAGATATTTGATGAAATTTTTTGCATCGAGCCATTTTAATTTGCTAAGCATTTGCCTAATTGGAGTATATGTATCTTTATTCAGTATTATTCTCATGCAGTTATTTTGTAAAATTTAAAGACTTTCAAAATGAAATTATTTGCTAAATATAGAATAGTCGAACAGTACAAGAAATTTGGAAGAGTGATGGTATTATAGATAATTTTTCTGCTATATGAACTCAGACATCCAGAAACTCTCGATAAATATCCCACTTTACTACTAATCTTATTTATAACTTTTCCATAATGAATATCAAAAATTAATCGAGAGTCAACAAAAACCCCCAGGTATTTAAAATTTTCTACGAATTCAATATCTTCACCATCAATATTCAGTTGAACATTTGCACATTGTTTTTTTTCCGATTAACACAGCTTTCGTTTTACTTGTATTTAATTTTAGCCTGTTAGATGCTAGCAATTTTGAGACAAGTTTCATTTATATAAGAGATACCATTCTGAATATTTTTAGTACATATATAAATCATAGTGTCATCGGCGAAAATCTGAATTTTGCATTTTTTGACTAGGGCAGGCAAATCATTTATGTATAAAATAAAAAGAAGTGGTCCCAGAATACTTCCCTGCGGAACACCTAACATATTTTCAATTTTTGATGAAATAGTGTCATTAACTTTTGTAATTTGCATCCTTTTAGACAAATAATTTACCTAACAGATATTTCTCTATAAATCGTTTCGAATGCCCTCTTCAAATCCAAAAATATTGCTATGACAACTTCTTCTTAGTCTATGGCTCTTCTCCAATTCTCAGTTACCAACTGGAAAGCCGTTTCTGTGGAATATTTTTTTCGAAAGCCTGCTTGCGCCTCCACTAAAATTTTGTTTTCTTCTATAACTGCATTAATTGGTCATGCACTATGGACTCTAATAATTTTTTAAAGTCCGGTAACACATTTGAAAAAAGAATACTGCACAAGCTTTATATAAAACTAATAAGACCGTGGACGCCTATAATAACTTCAAATCGCTTAGAAACCGTGCTCTTAACATGATCAGAAGGTACAAAAAGACATATATCGAAAAGTTGGCAAATGAAAATGATTCAAAAAAATTGTGGAAGTCTCTCAAACAACTTGATATAAATTTTCGTAGTAAACCAACCCTTCCGGCAAGTTTTAATGACCCTACCAAAATTAATGATTATTTTATGTCTGTTTATAGCTATAAACCTGTTAATTCACTAGTTTGCGAATACTATTTCAAAAATAAATTAAGCTCTGAATATATTTTTTCATTGAATAAGATTAGTTCAAATGACGTATTACAGGCAATAGGGAGCCTAAAATCTGATGCGAAGGGAATTGATGGTATATCCCTGTCAATGATCCAGCTTTGCCTGCCAGTTATTCTCCATCACATCGTCCACATCTTTAACGACTGTTTGGAAAAAGGCTACTTTCCAAACACATGGAAACAAGCTCTAATTATTCCAATTCCTAAAAAAATGAAACCCACTGAGTATAATGATCTCAGACCTATCAGTTTATTACCAATTTTATCCAAAATTTTAGAAAAAATTATAAAGTTCCAATTGACCGCTTACCTAGAAAAATTCTTTATACTTCCCGACACTCAATCCGGTTTTAGAAAATATTATAGTACATCTGCCCTACTTAATCTGCAAGACAATATTTTAAGTGCCTTAGATAAGAAAATGGCACTAGCCTTAATCTCTACAGACTATTCGAAAGCCTTTGACAGCATCAATCATAAATTATTACTTGCTAAACTAAATTACATAGGCCTTGACAGTGTATCCCTTTCATTTTTCGACAGTTACCTTCATCAAAGAACTCAGTGTGTTTCTCTCAATCAAGAAATGTCTCAAGTGACAATAATTCCCTCAGGCGTACCTCAGGGCTCTGTATTGGGGCCGCTTCTGTTCCTCATATATACGTTCGACTTAAGCAAAAGTATTGATAATTCTCATGTCCAGTCATTTGCAGACGATACGCAATTGCTCCATTATTTTAACCCAGATAATGTCAATAATACTACTCAAATTTTACAAAACGATGTTAATAAATTAATTAAATACTCTTTAGATCACAATCTACTTATTAATCCACAAAAATCTAAAATGTTATTATTTTGCGCACAAAGAAAAACATACAATGTAACACAGCTCTTGAACATTCAGATAAATAACCAAATTTTGCAATTTTCTGATTCTGCAAAAATTCTTGGTGTTGTTTTTGATACAAAATTAAGGTTTATTGAACATGTTAAAAGTCTATCTCAGAAAACCTACCTACGGCTGCGCACTCTTATAGCAAACAGGTATTTACTAAATTTTAAGTTGCGTAAAAAACTATGTGAAGCATTGGTCATATCTATACTAAATTATTGTAATATCGTATACTATACTCGTTTAGACAATTTCACTAAAAACGTTATTCAAGTTATTCAAAACAATTGCATACGATTCATTTTTGGCTTACGTAAATTTGATCATGTATCAGCGAAATATCCTGTTCTAAACTGGTTAAAAATTAATGACATGGTCAAGTATCACTATTCAGTTTTTGTTCACAAATTGCTGCTCACGTCTAAACCTTATTACTTGAAGGAAAAAATTTCATTTAATAATGATGTTCACTGTAGAACTCTCAGAGAAAATAATATTAGAATACCGCTGCATACGTCTACACTTTTTAAACGCAGTTTTTCTTACAATGTTGCTATTATTTATAATGACCTTCCTAAAGTATATGAAGAATTTTCATTACCTGTCTTTCGACAAAAAGTTAAAACATTATTACTCAACCCTCCAAACATATAATTTACGTAATCATTCATTTCTTTTTTATTCCATCTTTAATTCAGATTAATAATTTTTTGGTGCATTTGGGTTTGGAAAGTATGCCCTTTTCTCTTTTTTTAAATTTTACTTTCGATGTAATGAACCAAATCTGTTTGTGGATAGTGTATTCTTTTGAACATCTGCTAGAGACTATATGGTTAAGTGTAAGAGTAGCAGCATGCTAAACTTCGCCATATAAGTCTGACATTTGGCTATACTACAATGTAATTGTGGATAAATAAAGACGTCTATTATTATTATTATTATTTACTGGTCTCATATCGCTGCATCTTTTAGAATTTTTTATTTTGGGAACCGGTGTTATTGTAGAGCATTTCAAATTTTCAGGAAAAGAACTGCTTCTCAGTGAACAATTGATCCAATTTAATACAGGATATCCCAAAATTTCGAAACAGTTTTGGGCACAGTTATTATTTGATTTTAAACTGTTTACTTTTTTTTAGATAATTCAATGATACGCTATGAAACTTTGAAAGTGTATTTTTGTAATTTTTGTATCAGAAAAAGGGCAGCATTGTCCAATTGTGATCACTAACTTTATTTGTATGTATAGCTTTAATCCCTGCACATTCGAAATTTACAATAACAAGATCTAACAAAGTATCTGATAATGTTGTTATTCTGGTAATTTAAATTAAAATCACCTAAAAGTATTATATTGTTTCTAAAATTCCACATTTCTTCGCATTTCTCTTCAAAAAACATTAAAATGTATTCGCATCACTGTTTGGTGAACGGCAAAAAGTACAAAGATCATAACGTTTCCCAAATAATTTGAACTGTATATGTGCATACCAGTATGCATAGTTTAAAGTGGTACAATCGAATAATTTGATCTGTATTTTGTGGTAAACATAAATCACTACACCTCCAGTATGTCTGGAGTTGGAGTTGCAACTGTAGGTTTTATAATTAGTAATTTGTAATTCACCATGAGTGGTGTCTTCTGTAGCATGTGTTTCGGTAAGACATAATACAAGTGGTTTTCTCCATCTTAAAAACCGTTGAAATTCATCTATATTCAATTTTATAAATAATCGGTAAACTGAAGATTTTAGAGCATAAAAAGACCTTCAATTTTATTTTTTATGAATTAAAATGGACAAACAAGCTAAATACGTGGCTTTTTAGCAATATTGACTAGATGTATTTCACTTTTGTAAAATGTTCTAGGACCATATCTTGGGGAACAGTTGTTTAAATAATTCATCTCTAGGGTAAACAATTAGCTTTTTACATAAACTGTTAAACCGATCTGGCTGAAATTTAGCACGCTTATTAACACCAGTGATACCCTCATTTTCAAAAAAATTTAACCGTTTACAATTGTTATTGCAATAGTTATAAACATTTATTCAATATTGCTGGAAAGCCCCGTATTTAGCTTAATTGTTTATCGATTTCAATTCTTAAAAAACAAAATTGAAGCTGTTTTTATGATTTAAGATCTCCAGTTTACCGGTTATTTATAAAGTTTAATTTGAAAATTATATAAGCAAAATACTGAATTGTTGGCTTTCCCATTGTTTAAAAAAACAACTGATATCTGGATGTATCTTTTTATGTATTTGTCATTAGAAACTTTCAGATATCTGAAAAACTTTTTTTACCTTTTTTTATCTAACCTGAACTATTGTGTTCTGTGCATTTTATAAAAAAAAGCCTTAATACCAGGGCAGACAAGAGTACCCGTCTTACGGTCTTATGCCTAAAGACTGCTTCCCGCATAATGTAGGGAACCTTTTGAACTGGGCATTGGGGGGACGTCCATGGTGGAGTTGGCATCAAAGATCTTGACAAGCACTTCCCTCTCTGTCAAGTGAAAAAGATTAGTCATCATTAGTTAACCCATTGATGGTTCTTTGCTTAAGGTGAACTACCGTTTTAGTACAAACTTGAACGCTTTTTTGAACTCAACTTCCGCTTAAGATTAATGCGACTTGCGATTGAAAAACCGGGCCTAAGTTGTCTGTCCTGAAGAATATTCTTTATTTTATTACAGACAAACGGCCTGACAAGTTTTTTGCAATTTCTCAACATGTGCATCAAAGAAGAATACGATATACCCCCTCTAACCTCCAAACTAGAAGCATTCAAATCATCTTTAGATAAGTGCAGGCGCTCCAGTGTTTTTAACGAAAACGATCGTGAAATGACATACTTGAGCAACAAAGTATGGTTAGAACAAACGGCTCTGTTACTGCTTTCATCTGCGTTAGAATACAACGTGTATTCTCTTTACGAGCAAATCGGAATGTTGAAGCTTTTGGAGGAAATAAAAATAGGATCGTACCTAAAATGCCCTGATATCACCAACCTGGTCAAAATGCTGCAGATTGTCCTGGATACAAAATTGGCAGTTAAGTTTGATATTCCACTGTATTTCAAGAAGAACGGGAGACAGGCTGTCATAGACTGTATATCGATGCTTTTAGATAAAGAGCTATTTGAACATGCCTTGAAGATAGCGGAAATAGAAGGTCTACCGAAAGATCTTATAATAGTGCGTGAATGGCACTACAATTACCAGAATCAAAGAAATAATCCTAATCTTTGGACTGATGCCGATAGTGAATTTTCAAAACATAGCATCACTGCAGATTGCGTGGTAGAGTTTTATTTGGAATATTCTGGTAAATCGAATGATAATGCTGAAAGGTATCAGATTTTGAAGCTAGCATACAACTGGGCAAAAAAGTTCGAGCTTTCTAATGAGTATGAGTTGGAGTGTGAAAAATGGCTGGCTTACGTTCTGATTTTTGACAAGAAGGAAATAGACAGTGATGAGATCGAAGACAGCTTTCCTGTGAATGTCACCTACAAGGAGATGGTAGAAAAGCTGGAAAAAGTGCCGAAACATGACGAATCTCTACCTACAGATCAAGCGAACATTATCAAAACATTGATTAACACCAGTTTGAATAGGGGAAATTTTTGGCTAGCACTGAAGTTGGAAAAAATGTTCAGTAGCTCAAATACAGACCTGGACATTCTGAAGCTGTGTTACAGCCTAGCTGAACATTAGTATCTCCATATCAGCTGAATACCGAACAAAGGCTTTTACTCACTAAGGGATCTCAATACAGAAGGTTGAGTAACAGGAGAAACTTACTATCTTCTAGGACTTCGACAGCTAGTTTGAGTGAGTACTTTCGTCTAATTTCGTCTTATTGTATACTAAGAGACATATCAAATGCAACACCCAGAATTATTTAATGAATTTTGATAAAAATTTGTAAACATATTTGCTATCATGGAAGGCTTTTTTGTCAAATCAGGATCCGAACAATATGAACACGTTTACTTAGTATTCAGTGATTTTTCTGTGTTACTTCCATTTGCTTCGTTGTTGTTTCATCGCATTATCATGCCTAGAGTTCGCAGACGCGCTAATTTCACTCAAATTTCCGAGAAGAGCTTCAACAAATTATTAACATTAAGCTGGGATATACAGGGTGACTTCGAAGTTGAGTCATTTATTTTAACAGTGAGTAGATCTGATCAAAAGAAATGTTTTTTTCCTTTACCATTTTTCTGGTAAAATTAAAGTAACAAAGTTATAGCCCTTTGGAAGTTTGAGTACCGCCCTGTCTCAATAATAATATTATGTGCTCGTGTTTGGCAACAACGGATATAATCCGCCTTATCGGTTCATCGCATCGGAAACAAAAAAGCGAAAGAATTTGGAACGATGTTTTTACAATTATTTTATTCAGTTGTATACAGTCAGTGTCAGTCGGTAACGCGTGAGTGAATAGTGGTGTCTGTTACGTGGCTCAAACGAAATCAAAAATGGCACATGTTTATGCGGATCGGTTTCCCAATCGAGTGCAACCAACCCCTCGTGCCTTTGTTAATGTAGTACAACGAGCTCGTGAATCAGGTGACTTAAGACCTCACAGGAGAGGGCATGCCGGTGCTCCAA